ATGTTGACATGTACTTTCACTTGATGCACTTATAAGCAATTATTTGCCAAGTTTAAAGATTAGATAACGGATCAATGCATTTCCACTTTATCGTGTCTAACGTACTTCATGTCTCTGTTGCTATATTATAAGCTGCTTATTTGGATTGTGAGACGTATGACTCATTTTGGTTTTGTAAAACGTGAGTTCTGCTGTGGATGGTGAAGTTGGCTCTGAGGACCATAGTGTAATCCTCGCAGTGACGGACCAAAGCTTCGGGACCAATGATCTTCAACAAACAAGGCGGCTGATAAGTCATCCCTCATCCCTCGGCAAGCTGAGAGTTGCTGGTCATATGTCGTGGCTTCTGGACCATCATGGCGGTCATGGTTTCTTGGCAAGAGAAATACTACCAAAGAAACTTCGTTATCGTAAACTATGTGCCACGTTAACAATTGTTGTTAAAAATTATTCAGTATAAGTATATGAGTCAAGTCAAATATATATGTACAGATCATACTTTGGGATGCAACATTATTCTTATTTCTTAGCACAAAGTCAATGCATTGAGTTATCATAACGGCATTATCATATCTCAGTATGTAAATACTATACGTTGATACCCTTGGTGATAGATGAAACATTGATCATTTTGGTGTTTTCATTCTATACATTGATCACCCATAGTGATATATCGATATCGATCATACTTGTTTAGGTGTTCCATATATGGCTTCTTGTTGACAACTCAGTTAAACTGCATCGTCTGATTAGTTCCGTTATGAAATATATCATATATTTATACCAGTTGTTTAACTCGGTGTGCATTATTTTGTTAAATCCGTTTTTTTTTGTTTTGTTATGAGCACGAAATTGATGACAGATTGATTCATTTCTAATCACATTATACATATATATTTGATTCACGAAATTGCTATGAATGTCTTCTCTGTGATCTAATCTAATCATCCTGTTAAAATAAGTTTTATTTAAGATAACTACAATTGATGTAAATTATTTACAGCGGTGACCACAAGTAAATGGAGCGGTGTGTAGAACACTACTCAGATTTGTAGTGCCGGAAAAAAAACAGTGTCTATGATATAGCCCTCAACGTCACGGAAAGCATGTTTTACTTGGACTAAAAAGACAATCAATTAAATGTTGATTAACTCAGCATTGTCGTAGATAGACTAGCAAAGTAGAAGTCTCTCGGAATAGGTGATATATCAAAAGAACAAATATGGCGGCAACTCTGTGTAAGCAACACAGACAAGCTGTTTGCATGCATAGTCTGGGCCTACTAACCCGTTGGATTGTACCCACCTGCCGATTTCAATAACGGACACCTTTAATCTGATAAAAAGTGCAAAGTCAATTCATTCATTGATTTATATTTTCTAACCAGACTGGGAGTAGAATTGCCTTAACACCGTCATTGTCTTTGCATTTCATGCTTAACGGAAGTTGTCAATATTATATACGGACATGCCTAAGACCCATTTTCAGTTCCTGGACAAGTCCATTTTCAGCAATGGGGTGTATGCGCAACTAAAGATGTACAACATATGTCGTCTGCTTCTCATATTTACTGTGTCGAATCAAGCAAAGAAAAAGAATGAGAAAACAAAATTGCCTTTCACGTGAATTGGCAAGTGGTTTTATTAATATGTTCATGTGTGCAAAGGAATATAATTCCAAACTCAACTTTATGTTAATTTACGGAATTATCCGGAAGTTACTGAAGATGATGAATTACGTCATTATGCTGTCGGATGGAAATAAACTACCCCATAGTGTACGGAATATGGCGTCGTGTTAGTATGGAAAGTCCGTTAAGCATGAAAGGTGCAAGTGTATACCAGTACTAGTGCCATTCTGGTCACAGTCAGGTTAGAAATTATAAATAAATGATTCAGTTTACTTAGTTATGTACTCATTTTATCACGTTAAACGTTTTAGTTATTGAAATCGGTAGGGGGTGTCCAACCCAACGGGGATGTAGCGTCAGACTGTAGTATCCTGAACAGACTTCAAAAATTTTTAAATTGAGACTGCCATGAATCACAGTGCAGCTGCAAAGTAAAAAACAATCCACCAACTTCATGCTTTTGAAATTAGACAAGTGCTAGAGTGCGCAAGAAACCGAAGACCATTGTACAATACCCTACAATGACTCACGAAGGATTTCGACTTAGTCATAAGGAAATAGTTCAAGCAGCTATAAAAGTTTGTATGTCCTCAAAAGCTCCTAGGAATAATCCAGTCGTTTCTTCAAAATAAGCATGCCAGGGCTCAATATGATGGTTCAGAGGCTTTTGAGATACGCAGTGGAGTCAAGCAGGGGTGTATTCTTGACCATATATTGTTCATTAATTCCCTTAGTAATACGGAGTACTTTAACAAACAATGCAACTTTGATGTTAAAATAGTGGGTTTGCACATTAGCGAAAATGGACATTTAACAAGGGAATGGCAACTGGGGATCAATTGGAATTGAATATTGGTAACATCATTTGATTTGTAAGGTGAAAACTATTTTGTAGGGTGAAATGCATTTATAGGGACAAACGTTTATAGGAACTAACATTGAAATACAGAAATAAACAATACACATCCAAATAAAGATGATAGCAATACAAAAAAAGAGGACAGGTATGTTTCAAGGAAAGACTGCTGGAATAGAGAGCCCAAAACAAAAAAATACGCATCCAAACAAAGAATATATAAACACACAGATGAGAGGACAGAGTTGTTTCAAAAACGATTCACAGATAGAATAAAGAATCCAATAATAAAAGTCTGCTGTATAGGTACAAATCATGTTAGTATATACATGGTATATATAGCCCGTGATTTGGTCTAATTACTCTTCATTTAGTACATACAAATTTCGACATGGAACAAACTTATTTACAAGTTATTTAGTTCTTGGTTCTAGTAAACTGCTTCATAAAGCTAACGTTCATGCCTTCTAAAGTAACCACTTCATATACAAGGTATTTGTATTTCACGCTACATTTAATATTCATTTTGTTTAAGAAAAAGCTAAAACAAACAAGAAACAGACTACCGATAATTTAAACTTTTAATGTAAGTAACATAAACAATTGAGGGCTACTGAAGACGCGCAGACGATGAGAGAAACATTTGACATCACCGATGGAATAATGACCACTCATATGGCTTACGTTGTACCTTCATGGGCAGAAGATAGTGACTGCACCTAATCTGCTTATCGATAAGTGAACCTAACACAATTGATAAAACAGTAGATTTACGAAGAAAACGGGGTACGTGATGGAAAATATTTAGGCTGAGTTACAAGTGGTAGCTGACTAGATTTTAACCAATGTGTGTGCCGAATATAGAGAGAAATCGGACCTTTGTTCTATTTTATTGTTTGTTTCTTGTTTTGTTTAAGCGTTTTCTAAAAATGAACATTAATTGTAGCGTGAAAGAAAATGTATTCTGTAATTAAATATAAATAGGTTGTATATGAAATTTTTCTAGAAGGCTTGAAATTTAATATTATAAAGTAGTTTACAAGAACCAAGAACTAAATATCTTGTAAATAAGTTTGGTTTTATGTCCAAATCTTTATGTATTAAATGGTTAGAATGTAGACCAAAGAACATGTTAGAACCAATTTATGCTTGAATAAATGCTTTGTACCCATACAAAAGACTATTTTTATTGGAGTGTCTGTTCTATCGGTGAGTCATTCTTTGAAACATCGCTGTCCTCTTTCCTGTGTGTTTTTATTTTCTTTGTTTGGATGTGTATTTGTTTGTTACTGTATGTCAATGTTAGTCCCTATCAACGTTTGTTCCTTCAAATGCATTTCATCTTATAAACAGGTTTGACCCTATGAACCCTACGAAGTTACCAATGTTCAATTGTCATTGACCCCCATGTACCATTCCCCTGTTAAATTCCTATTTTCACCAAAGTGCAAACTCCCTATTTTGACATTAAGTTCCCATTGTCGCCAAAGTGCCACATATTACTGCTTACCATCACAGTCAGATGGAAAACTTCACAACCTCGCAAGTCACAGAGGTAAAACCAAGATTCGTATCCTTGACCTGCTTTCATCTGACAAAGTTGTAGTGACAAACCACATATCAGTTCATAATCAAAACAATGACCAATTTTCACAATCATGACAGGACTTTCTGCGTGCCAGCAATCAGAAATAGAGGGTAGTAATGGGTCTAGTCACTGAAAAGTCATCGTCCATCAATATGGACAATTACGATTTTGAAGTTGTCAGCAAGTTTGTCAAACATTGATCGGACGTTAACCCTATATGTATCCTTCGACTCTAATCATGAATATTAGATGCTGTAGTGATACGAATCCATCAATGTTCATTTGTTTTCTTGCTTGTTTAAATATAATAAACTGTATAGATACCCTTGTTTTATTGACAGATCTCATTCAGACCTTTTATACATAAAAATATTGAGTCCTTGACAGTATTCAATTTTATGTTCTCGATTTTACCTGCAACAAAGTAATCTGGTAAAACGCAGTGGTCATTATAAAGAAATATTCCGTTCACTGACATGTTTGTTCTGTATTGCCTTCACATGTTCCTTGTCGAGTTTACAATAACTTTGCTTTCGTTTCATTCTAGCTGGAAAGAGATCAGTTTGCTATACTTGAATTTAAATGCAAAATTCAATTGTAGAATACGTCGCTTTGGAACATATTTGTTTTTAAAAGCAGACGCTTTTATTGATTACCAAGACATATTTTAAACATATAGTGCAATACTTTTTCGTCGCTCTACTAGCCCAAGTAATACACCATTGACGGCTTTGGTGGTAGACATTGGACTGAAGAAAACCGTGTAATCTGGAAAAAGAGATTTTAGCTTGGCTAAATTGTAACCATCTTTTTAATGAAATCAGCTAAACAAATTCATTATTTTCACATAATATTTTCCTTTGATCAAAATGCATCCCTATTTTGAACCATGATATATGATGAGATTTGCTGTAGTACATCAGTAATTTTCTGTGGCCTAGTGGTTGGAGCGCCGGCCTTGAATACAGGAGGTCGATGGTTCAAACCACGGCCAAATAAAAACCAAAGATTTTTTTAAAAAATGATACTAACAGCTGCCTCGCTTGGCGCTCAGCGTTAAGATGTTAGTGTTAGGACTGGTCGGCCTGGTGTCAGGATAATGTGATTGAGTGGAACATGTCACATGTCTACGGCAAGTTACCCCAGCGCTAGACATCACTAATAAACTGCCACGCTGCAAACGTAGCGATATGACTGAAAAATTGTTTAAGCTACGTTAAAAATCTAAATCACACACACATACACACACTTTAATTTCTAGCTATTCTCCAGGTTTTAGTTTTTGTTTATTAAAACCGAATTCCATGACAGAGAATTAAATCTGGACACTTGATGTTATTAAATGGACGTTTTTTTTAAAGTGATTAAATTGTTCAGTTTCGTCGAAGCTCTCTGGTCTTAAAATGCACATAAAAATTATAAGGACTTTCAAACACCTTCGTTGTAGATAACTACTTTTCTTTAGTAAATGTCACAATGATATGTATTATTTACAGTGAATGACTGAGATATTTCATTTGTTTTATAAGTTAAAATGTTAAATGTAAGTAACATAAACTATGTGTTTGATTTAAACTGGTTATATACTTGTATGCTTCTATTGCAAAGTGCTCATTGACAAATTTACAACTATATAATACACTTCTATAAGTGCCTTTGCAAAACAAAACAAAAAATGAGTTACTCAATTTCAATACACGTTCACACATTCAGCAAAGATGATTTCAGCAGAAACGATCTCGTTACATCTGCTTCACACATCTGCTGCACGCCAAATAAGATTCTATGTATAAATTAACAAACCCTGCTTTTCGAAATTTCTATCGCTGTCACAGCTGGTTCTTTATATATACAAAAAAAATAATCTTTCCTTTCACTAGTGCAATTTACTCCTGCAATATGAATGCCTGTCAGCATTTAAACTAATAATGAAATATATCCTCTGACAGGGGCCTTTCGTTCTTCCTCCACCATTAATACTGGCCGCCATGTATAGCCTATCTTGTGCTGAAAATGGCGTTAAACCCTACAACAACAACAACAACAACAACAACAACAACAACAGGGACCCTTTGTGTACAATATGATCAACAAATACTCTTTTATGATGTATAACTTTCAAGCGAGCTGTTTTAAGCTATGAGTAATTATTGTACGCACGTCATAGAGAAGACATGTATTACAGTCACATGCGCTTGATAGGTTGAAAAAGGAAGGCATCTTAGCTATACGCTGTTTACGACCGTCTAACATCTGCGTGGTCCTTGCTCACCAACAATTCAAGTTGCATAACGACATGTAACTTCCACCTGCTAAAATTCTGAATAACTTTCTCTGTAAGTAGTTCGTGCAACATAAGCTTGCCAATGTCGAAAATAAATATTACTTATTCTTATACATATATAAATATATATATATATATATATATATATATATATATATATATATATATGTATATATATATATATATATATATATGTATGTATGTATGTATGTATGTATATATATATATATATATATATATATATATATGTATATATATATATATATATATATATATATATGTATGTATGTATGTATGTATGTATGTATATATATATATATATATATATATATATATATATAAATATATATATATATATATATATATATATATATATATACATGGTATTTACTTTCAACTTTAGAAACAGTAAGCTTGTTAAAATCTGCAGCAATCCTGCTGTCTCGGGTGAGCTAAATTCTCTAGGACATTTAGTATACACTATGGTGTCTAATGTAGTCTACACTATGGTGTCTAATGTAGTCCACACTATGGTGTCTAATGTATTCTACACTATAGTGTTTAATATAGTCTACACTATGGTGTCTAATGTAGTCTACACTATAGTGTCTAATGTAGTTTACACTATGGTGTCTAATGTAATCTACACTATGGTATCTAATGTAGTCTACACCATGGTGTTTAATGTAGTCTACACTATAGTGTTTGTATATTGTTTTTTCACTATGGTGTCTAATGTAGTCTACACTATGGTGTCTAATGTAATCTACACTATGGTGTCTAATGTAGTCTACACTATGGTGTCTAATGTAGTCTGCACTATGGTGTTTAATGTAGTCACCGTCCAATGTGAAGATCTAGAACAATCGGCTATAATTTACCCAATACAGATGTGGTAAATGTACATAACAAAGCTTTATCAACTCAAGGCGTGTATTCTCACTATCGCATTGATACCAGCCATGTCAAACTCAAGACTTGCTTACATCTCATCTAGAAACCCTACTGCCATCACATTCAGATTTCTACAAAATATTGCAAAATGTTTTTTTTTCTCGTTTTCACCATCTTTACCGAAGAATCACCAATAATAGCAGGTCGTATAGAAATGTTAACTTTTGATTGGGCTTCTCTATGATTGAAGTTAATGTTGTCTCAAAATCATCTGTGTATTTCGTCAAAATCGGAAGCAGAAATAACACCAATAGGCACCCTAACAAGGACGACTCCATTGACAAAGTGTATGTGGAGGCAGTTAGCAGTTGTGATATTTAATGAAACCGTATTGGGGAATAGGGAGTTGTTAAACTTATTCTCCTCTATAGTGTTTTAAACTTTGACTTTTATTATTATCCCATTATAAAAGTGAAACAATATCATAATTCTAAATAAAAATGTAGGGAAAAAATAAAACTATTTTGGTACAACATGTATTGTCTTAACACTGCCGAAAAAAGTAAAGCATAAGTGTCCAAACATCTGAGATCAATTATGTATTTCAGTGATACCCAAACATCTGAGACAAATTAATAATATATGTCAATAATACTCAAAGATCTGAGATTTAAAAAAAACAACATATATCAGTGATAACCAAACATCTGAAATAAAATGATATATATTTCACTAATACTCAAAGATCTGAGATATAAAAACATACTTCAATGATACCAAAATATCAGAGATAATTGGTGTATTTTAATGATACCAAAACATTTGAGATAAATTGTGTATTTCAATGATACACAAATAAATCGGATTATTTAGATTTTCTTGTAGATACAAACCAGACTCCCTCTTCCGTGACCAAACAGTTTTTGGCAACAAGCGAAGAAACGTCAATGTAAATAATCTAAAAAAAATTTACAAAATTGCTTAGTTTGTAAGAAATTCGTTTCCGGTAATGAGATATGTGCTTAAATACGCGTGTTAAATTTCACTTGTCAATATCAAGCAATTCTCGCTTCCTAGGAATGGCATACAGATGGACTAACCATGCAAATCCCCTCCTCCAGGATGAATCATTAAGATTACAAGGTATAAATAGGTTCTTTAAAGCAATAAACAAAACCTATCATTCATAAAAGTGTTTTGCAAGTTTGACTTTTGCATAGCAATATAGCACGATGAGTGAAACGTGCTCTGACAAAGAGTTATGCCTCAGTAAAGATGAAGGATGCAATAATATCCCTCAGTAAAGATGGAGGATGTAATAATGTCACTGAATAAAAATGGAGGATGTAATAATGAATCTCACTAAAGATGGAGAATATAATAATGTCCCTCAGTAAAGATGGAGAATGTAATTATGTCCCTCAGTAAAGATGGAGGATGTAATAATGTTCCTCAGTAAAGATGGAGAATGTAATAATGAGTTTTGGATAGTGCAGCGGCAATCAACGTTCATTCCATAAAGATGGAGGATGTAATAATGTCCCACCGTAAAGACAGAGGATGTAATAATGCCCCACAGTAAAGGTGGAGGATGTAGTAATTTCCCTCAGTAAAGATTGAGAATGTAAAAATTTCCCTCAGTAAAGATGGAGGATGTTATAATATCACTACGTAAAGATGGAGGATGTAATAATGTATCACACTAAACACGGAAGATGTAATAATGTCCCTCAGTAAAAATGGAGGATGTAATAAAATCCCTCAGTAAAGATGGAGGATGTAATAATTTCCCACCGTAAAAATGGAGGATGTAATAATTTCCCTCCGTAAAGATGGAGGATGTAATAAAATCCCTCCGTTAAGATGGAGGTTGTATCAATGTCCCATGTAAAGACGGAGGATGTAATAATGTCCCTTCGTAAAGATCGAGGATGTAATAATGTTCCTATTTAAAGAAGGACGATGTAATAATGTCTCTCAGTACAGATGGAGGATGTAATAAGGTCCCTCAGTAAAGATGGGGGATGTTATAATATCACTACGTAAAGATGGAGGATGCAATAATTTATCACACTAAACATGGAAGATGTAATAATGTCCCTCAGTAAAATTGGAGGATGTAGTAATGTCCCTCAGTAAAGATAAAGGATGTAATAATGTCCCAACGCAAAAATGGAGGATGTAATATTGTCCCTCCGTAAAGATGGAGGATGTAATAAAATCCATCCGTTAAGATGGAGGATGTATCAATGTCCCACGGCAAAGATGGAGGATGTAATAATCTCCATCCGATAGGAGGGAACTGTAGCAATATCCCACGGTAAAGACGGAGAATGTAATCATATCCCTTCGTAAAGATGGAGGATGTAGTAATGTTCCTAGATAAAGAAGGAGGATGTAATAATATCCCTCCGTAAAGATGGAGGATGTAATAATGTCCCACCGCAAAAATGGAGGATTTAATAATGTCCCTCCATAAAGATAAAGGATGTAATAATGTCCCTCAATGAAGATGTAGAATATAATAATGGCCCTCAGTAAAGATGTAGGATGTAATAATGTCGCTCTATAAAGATGGAGGATCTATTAATGTCCTTAAGTAAAAATGGAGGATGTAATAATATCGCTACGTAAAGATGGAGGATGTACTAATGTCCCACAGTAATGAAGGAGGATGTACTAATGTCCCTCAGTAAAGATGGAGAATGTAGTAATGTCCCACCGCAAAAATGGAGGATGTAACAATGTCCCTCCGTAAAGATGGAGGATGTAAGGATGTCCCTCCGTAAAGATGGTGGATGTAATAATTTTATTCCGTAAAG